CAAACGTTACTATCATTCGCAGGCGGACACGTACGATCCCGCAGCAGCATCAACAATCACACATGCTTGGAGTGCAAACGTACAGGGTGTGCGTTTTGAATGAAAGTGATTTTGCAAATAATGTTTTTTTTATCAATTTCGAAATTTCGGGATTTCGAATTGATGATTTCGGAATCCCGAAAAGTTAGAGTGGGAATGCTTTGATTGAAGTGAAATCTAAAAAATTATTCTAATCTATTTTTTGAAGCCATATTTTTAGCAATCCCGAATTTTCGGGATTTGAAAATTATGATTTCAAGATCCCGCAAACGTTCATGTAAGCGTTTGATTGAAAATTATTTTTTAAATGAAATTCGAGTAATTTTTTGAAACTCCATATTCTTGTCAATCCGTAAATTTCGGTATTTTAAATTTACAATTTCGGGATGCCACAAAAGTTCGGTATAATCCATTAAAATATTAATCTAATATTTCTTTAAATCRCATATTTTATTAATCCCGGTATTTCGGGAATTTAAAATTACCATTTCGAGATCCTGATTTTTTTTTAAATTTTGCAATGTTGTTTGTTTTTAATTTCTTGAGTAAATAAACACAACAAAAAACGGCGTTTATATTTATGTATAAAATGTCTTTATTAAAAAACACTACCTTCTATAAGAACCGGTCCTCCTAGCTGTTTCAAAAAAAGACAGCAGCAAACTTCGTGAATGTTGGCTTGTTCTGGCTTATTGAYTCTAACAGAAAAATAAAGATGGCATTAAGTGAACTTTTGATATGTATTGGAAAGGAATATAAGTTCGAGATTATTAGAATCTTACATGCAAAGCTTTGCCGAATCTTTCTAAGATTCCTTAGTTACCAATAAAAGATCACAAGACCGCTTATAAGGCAACCACCCTGTGAACATTAACGGAAATATTTTTCCATTTTCTGCTTTCAGCCTCTTCGTTTTTACTTCACCGGTTTGGTTCCGTGTGCACTTTATTGCTTCGATGCTCTCATTGCGCGTCTGTGAATTCATGCAACAATATCAACATAAAGTTGCATGTATGTTRATACATATGTAGCACACCCACATGTTGCACGTTTTCCGTTTTTGATTTCTTCACTCGCCTTAATTCCGCTGCTGCAGTTTTTGGACGCGYTTTGATTCGCATTCCACACTTTCCCTTGTCGCTTTGCTGTTATCTTTATGTATGCAGCTTGCGACATCSTTCCTGGTCGGCCTTATGTAATGCTTCAGCTTGATGATAAACTTACATCCATATATACCTATATATGTATGTATGTATATATATGGATTTTTAGGTCATGAATTGTTCTTAACATAACCATGTTTGGAAACTATGAGTGTGAATTCTTCWCGAATACGGTATCATTTCAACGTTTTTCCCTTCCCCATGAATAACAAACTGCCTTCATTTTATACTCATATTTTTCGGCCGGATATTTGTCGAGTAGTTACACCAAGTAACGTCCAAGTGTGTTTCCGATAAGAAAATTTCTAAATAAGATAGTTAGGTTTCAACCCTTAAATAAATAAAATAACTAAAGTACAACGGTTGATCTTGGAAAGTTTGCCGTGAATGTTGAAACAATTTGAAATCCTGGGTTTGGGAGGCTCTTATGTATCAACTTTATATTTCAGASCTGGCAATAAGTGATCCTTTCCATAGGGAACAATTCTACTGATAAGATATTCATCTAATTTGTACCTCTTTTTGTCTTTATTGGCGAATGTTTCTATGAGTGTCACATTTTGAAATTATCTACAAAATAGCAGCAAAAACAAAACAGCTCATACTCGAAAAACCACCCGGAAATTGTAATTAAATTCTCASGGTAAATGAWAATTAAAAATAAGTAAGAAAGGGCTAAGTTCGAACATTTTATACTCTTGCAAGCCAGGGAAACACTTTAAAGTGTAGAATMAATTATATGGAGTAAAGTCAGCCGTATGKTCGAAAATTCTGATACATATTAGCTATACAGGGGCTAGGTAAAGTTTTCGCTCAAATTTATCTATTTTAGTCACAAAGATACACTRTTATGAGTAAAGCGCGCTCTTTTATTTTCATTGAGATAACTCACATATTGGCCGATATATGCGGTGCAAAGTCACCKSGAARTTCGAAAATCAATATCTAGWTACATTAGGTATATGGGTGTTAAGGGAAGTACTRGTCCGATTSAACGATAACTCATTTTTGACAYACAGATATATYATATTATKATATAAGAAGGATTAATTTCAGTTATATATATCAGTTATATCACACATTGAACGATATTTTCGATAAAAAGTTAACTATCGGTACCTGAGTCTAAATATTCGGTACCCAGRGCCTTGAACAGTTTTTATTGGATTTAAACAATTTTTGGTCATAAGGACATTATTATATTAATTGCTTCTTGATTTGTGTGCTGGAAACTGAACGAATCAAGTCGAATTTAAAATTGTGCAATATAGGAAGTAGGCGTGGTTTTTGTCCATTTTTACACTGTGACATAAGAATCAAAGAAGAATGCCACGTATTAATTAATATTATTMAAAAAGTGAGTGAATCTCTAACCTGATTTTGTATCTTTCACTAAACTTTTTTATTTCATCTTTCACTTTGCATATTTTTAAATCTCTGTGAATAGTATGATTTGAAACATACCATGGAGCTTTTGTAATTGWCCTGAGAGTTTTTGATTGAACGCGCTGTATTATTAGAGAGTTSACAAGAGTGCTCGATATCTCTCACCAGTCCATTGGAATGATTTTGGTAGATATCATATTTTGGGTATGAAAGACGTCTAGCTCGTCTTCAAAACCAGTAGCGTAAACAGGTCTTTTTTGGGAATGCTACTAACTGCCGATGAGACATGGACTTATGAATTTGACATGCGAACAAGTCAACAATATTCGGAATGGAAAAAACTAAAAGCACCTACGCAAAAGATGCTCAAAAATCAAAGTGACGCTCATTGTTTCTTTTTTCTATTTTCGTGGTTAGCTGCATCATTAATTTGTTCCGGGTAGAGCGACGATTAATAAGGGATTCCATTTGGCCGTATTGAGGCGTTTATGAAAGCACAACCGACTCTCAACCGAATTTAAAGCCAGAAACGCAATAAATTCTATCGATCAACCAACTTATTCGCTAGATTTGTCTCAGTGTTATTTTTATTTAGTTCCTCAAACATAAATTGCCACTCTGTGGAACTCGTTTGCAGTTAATCGAAGAGATAAAACTAAGTTCGTTGAAGGAGCTGAAAGCCATTCCAAAAAGTGCTTATAAAAAGTGTGTCGAGCAAAATCGTTGGCATAAAGT